CCTGAGGGCCTGCACTGCTACTCATGGCCATGGTGTCATCCAGACAAAAGCTAATGCTAAGGGCCATGTTTGGGTCCATGGCCCTTCTGTAGCCAGGTTCTATAATCAGATCTGTGGCTTCTGTTACCATTGAAGGCTATATGACTGCCCAGAGTCTAGACCACCACTTGGAGCCATGTTGGAGTCCAGGGACCGTGCTGCTTCTTGGCCCATGCCAATCTGAGAGGCCTGTGCTGTCACCTGGGATCATAAGGATATCTGAGCCCAAGTTGCTGCTGATGGCCATTTCTGGATCATTGGTCCTGCCACAACTGGAGTCTGTGTTGATGTGCATTGCTCATGACACTACAGGGGCCCAATTGTTATCTAATTGTACTTAAGGCCTGATCAACAAGAAGGAAATCAAGCTTGGTGCTAGAAACCTAAAAAGCAATTGGTTATAACTAATATGTAAGTGCCACTATTGCACCCTTAAGGTTATTATGCCATTGTAATCATCCTTATGATTCACAGATGTGACAGCTCAATAGTTTCCCTCACTTGAAAGCTTGCATAGCGCTTTCTTGTATCTGAAGATAGGAACCTATCTTCAACCTCTGGAAAGCAACCAAGGGCAACAGTAATAGCCTATATTGTATTGAGAGTCTCTTGGACTCCCTGATGAACAGCTCAAAAGGGGGTTTCTCATATCTGGTATTGGGTTTTTTTTTAGTTGGTGTCTCTTATGAGGAATATATTATCCAAAATGGGATAACTTCATTTATATATTTTCTTTATACCCATAAGCTTATATGTGTTCTGTGTTATTTTAGGTAAATAAATAACAGTATGATTCTTTATGACCTTTAATTTTTTTCTTTTTTGTACAATTTCTCCCTTCCCTTTCCTCCCTCTAACCCCCAACCATATACCCCTCCATGCCTTCTTTTAAACTCATGACCTCCTTTTTTCATTATTATCAGTCTATATACAGTTAATTAAATGTATGTTTTAGGGCTGATCATTTGGTATTAGATAATCATTAGATGTTTTAGACATCCTTGTTATTTTACCCTTTCCTTCTGTATTGATCATCTCAGTGCCAAAATTAAACCTTCCTTCCATTTTACCATATTCCCCTTTGAATCACTTGTACCTTACTATTCCTCTATCATCTTGCCAAAAGAAAGTAAAGACAAACTCTAAATGGATCACAAATCTCAATGTGTTACCTGAAACTTCTAGAAGAAAACATAGGTAGTACTCTACAAGATATAGGTGTAGAAGATGGAATTTCTGAATAGGACTCAATTTTCCCAGGAACTAAGGCCAAAAATTGACACATGGGGCCTCATAAAACTAAAAAGCTTCTTCACAGCTAAAGAAACAATCAAGTGAAAAGGAAATGCAGAATTTTTACCAGCTATACATCTAACAGATGATTAATATCCAGAATATATAAAGAATTCAAAAAACAGTCAAGAAAACAAAGAACCCAAGTTGTAAGGGGGGGGCTGATGGGCTTGTCCTCCTGTATATATGTTTCTCTTATTGGTTAATGAGAAAAATACTGTTCGGCCAATGAGGCAGGAAGATAGGAGGGTCTAGGAGAATTCTTGGAAATGTTGGCAGAGTGAGCCCTCCACAGAGTCGTGATGCTGCCAAAGGAATAACAACATGCTGGAACATTATCGGGTAAGCCTCATGGCAATACATAGATTGATAGAAATGGATTAATAATTAAGACAGAGCTAGCCAATAAGAAGCCCAAGCCACTTGCCAACAGTTTCATAATTAATTTAAGTCTTGTGTGTTTATTTGGGTCTCTCAATGGGTGGTGGATCCCTCCTGGGCCAGAAAACTTCCATCAAAAGGGGGCTATGGATCTTAAAAGATAGTTATCAAAAGAAGAAATAAATGTGTCTATGAACTATCTCAAAAAATGTTAGTCTTCTGTCTTAGGGTTTCTATTGTTTTGATAAAACACCATGACCAAAAGTAACTTAAGGTTGAAAGGGTTAATTTCACGTTGCACCTTGTATTTCACTATCAACTTAAGGATGAAAGGGTTTATTTCACCTTACACCTTGTACTTCCCTTTCAAGATAAACCAGGGTAGGAACTCAATACAAGAACCTGGAGGCAAGAACTGATGAAGAAGTCATAGATGAGTGCTACTTACTGGCTTGCTCCTTCTGGCTTTCTCCATTTGTTTTATACACCCTAGAACAACCTACCCTGGAGTAGCAACACCCACAATGGTCTGGACCTTCCCACATCAGTCATTAACCAAGAAAATGCCCACAGGCTTGCCTACACATCAATCTTATGGAGGAACTTTTTTTCAGTTGAGGTTTCTTCTTCTCAAACAACTGTAGGTTGTGTCAAGGTGGCATAAAACTAACCAGAACTTAAGGAAATGTGAATACCATAAATAGATAGATGATAGATAGACAGACAGACAGATAGATAGATAGATAGATGATACATAGTTACATAGATATATAGATACATAGATAGATATAGAATTTCAAGTTTTCATCTTACTCCAATAAGAATGACCAAGATCAACAAAACAAGTCATAATAAATGCTGGAGAGAATATAAGGAAAAGGAACACTCATTAACTGTTGGTAAGATTGTAAATTAATCCAGCCCCTCTAGAATCAGTGTGGAGAATCCCGAAAAAGCTAAAAGTAAATGTACTGTAGAACCAAGCTGTAGTACTTCTTGGCATATGTCCAAAGGACTCAAAATCCTACCCCACAGTTACTTGCTCAGCCATGTTCATTGCTGCTCTAGTCACAATAGCAAGGAAATGGAAACAACCTCAATGTCCTTCAAACAAAGAATAGATAATGAAAATGTGATACGCACACACACACACACACACACACACACACACACACACACACACACACACACAGGAATACTACTCAACTGTAAAGAAAAATGAATTCATGAAATTTGTAGGTAATGAGTGGTAATAGAAAATATTACATTCAGTAAGGTAACTAAGACTCAGAGAGACTCCATATGCTTTCTCTTATTTGTGGTTCTTAGCTCAAAATTTTCATATATGACTGTTTAACCTCTGGATTAGCTGCAGAAACAAGAGAAACAGGAAGGGGGACATGGGGTGGAGGACACCAGAGAGAGTAATATATAATATATATATAAGTGCTATTAACCTTATTTCTCCTCATGAATTTCAAAATTCTACTTCAATTTTTTAAACAATTAGTAGTCACCTTCCAGAACGTTTTCTGTTAACATATTCAGACATACATGTTTCCATTATTTCAACATACAGTAAACTGAATGACTTCTTCAAACCTTCATTATCATCTCATCACATTTCTACCTGCTTTCTTCTACAGAGCACTATCATCCTTAAGATTGACTAAGATAGAAACTTGGAGTTGGTCTCAATTCTTACCTATACTTCTTCTTGTACATGATTTTCCAAGTTATTTTATCAACTTAGTTCCCACCAGACTTTAGGACTATTGGCACAATCAACTATTTTAATGATTTTTTTTCTGTGAAGCAAAATTGGGATTACGGAAAGGTGGGTTTTTGTTGGTAGTGGTGGGGTTTTCTCAGATTGTTGGTAGTGGTAGGGTTTACTTTTGTTTAGATGGGGTCCCATGTAGCCCAGATTGGTCTCAAATTCACCATGGAGCTGACAATGATGGCCCTCATAAGTTCTGGAATTACAGGCTTATTTGACCACATATGAATTATGCTGGTGCTGGGGATTGAACCCTGGGCATTGTGTATGGTAGGCAGGTATTCTACCAACTGAGCTACATATTAAAAGAAAACAAAACAAAATTTTGTTTTAGTTTTACTTTGTTGTGTAAATAGGAGTGGATATTTGGGTTTGTGTGCCAATGCACACAAGGGTAGGTGAAAAGATAACCTGTGGGGGTCACTTATCCCCCACCCATTATGTCTTAATTAGACTTACTATTGCTTTAAAGAGATACCATGACAACAGCAACTTTTATAAAGAAAATGTTTAATTGGAATGACTTGCTTACAGTTTCAGAGGTTCAGTCTATTATTATGGTGGCAAGCGTGGAGTCATGCAGGCAGGTGTGGTGCTGGAGCTGAGAGTGCTGCATCCTGATCAGAAGGTAGCAGGAAGTCAACTTAAAGTGTCACTGAGGGAAACTTGAGCAAAAGAGACCTCAAAGCTTACCCCCCACACACACACACAATAGCATACCTCTTCCAACAAGGCCACTCCTGCTAATAGTGCCACTGCCTTTGGGAGCCATTTTCTTTCAAACCACATACCTATGTGGATTCTAGGGCTCAAACTCAGGTTATCAGGCTTATAGGCAAGTGCCTTTATGTGATGAGCCATCTTGCCAGCCACACTCAACTTTAAAAATGCCAATATTTAACAATTTAAGAGCAGTCTGTGGCCCTTTATCTTGTAACAACAGGAACTTCATACTCTTTCCTTGAATATGCCTTTTTAATTTATGCCACTATATATGGTTATACCTTGCCTCTTCCTAGGGTCCTTTCTCCATGCTTCAATATCATTCCAGTTCAATTTCCATTCATTATTTAAGACTAGGCAAAGCTCCTCCCTTCCTCACTCAAATATTTCTTTATATAACACCCTAACAAAATAAATGTTTTTCTTTTTTAGGAAGTTCACCACATCTTATGTGAAGCATTATTTGTTATTCAATTTTTACTTGTACTAGCTTCATCTCTTCTTACTAGATTATGAGCTTCTTTAAAAAAAAAAAGATATCATATATTGTTCATGCCTATATTCCCAGGTCTTCCCTGCCATGTAGTTACTCTAATACATATTATACATCTCTTAAATTAATGTGTAGTAATATACAATTTTATATGAGGGAATACAGTTAGGAAATGGAGTTCTTTCTGTATTAAAATTACCAAAGTAAGTTAGTAATCATTTCTGATATAATATACTAATTTCAGTATGTTTTCTTTTATCCACTGGAAAAAAAATGTTTTGCTTTCTTTAGCATTCAAGTATTCCATTGTCTTAAGCATGAAGGAACAGGTGGCAGGACACTGTTAGTGGATGGATTCTATGCAGCACAACAAGTACTTCAAAAAGCACCTGAGGAATTTGAACTCCTCTGCAAAGTGCCATTAAAGCATGAATATATTGAAAATGTTGGAGAATGTCATAACCACATGATTGGGGTTGGGCCAGTCCTAAATATCTACCCATGGAGTAAAGAGCTGTATTTGATCAGGTGAGTACCAAACAACGATTCTCCCATGTGATGTATTTAATTATATTAAACTCTTGACTAGTGTATCCACCTATCTCCTAGAATCATCATTTGGTTATCTTATAGAATATACAGTATATCATATTCAAAATGTAATTCAGAGGCTTCACTCACCTTAAACTCGCCTCTGTGTGTATTTGCTCATTTCACTGAATGATATATCCACTAAATTGCCCAAAGAAAAACTAAAATCTACCTTCAATCAGTCCATCTCCCTCATACTATACAACCAATCAAACCTGGTTTACCTTATGAATTTTCCTCTAAATACCCAGTGCTTCCTATCCATAATACCACTTTTTGTTTGAGACAATCATTACCTCTACATAATACCATTAATTTCGCCCTTACCCTTCTGTCCATTTTGTGTGTTGTAGCTAGAGAAATCTTTTAAAATTTTATATAATATAGTGTGTGTGTGTGTGTGTGTGTGTGTAGAGAGAGAGAGAGAGAGAGAGAGAGAGAGAGAGAGAGAGAGAACATCCAAGTGTATGTATGCCGCTGCACATGGGTGACAGTCACAGGAACACTTTTCAGGAATTGGTTCTCTCAGTATTTGATCAAGAAATCAGTGTCAGGCCTGAGTGTGTGTGTGTGTGTGTGTGTAAGTAAATATACATTATATAACATATAAATATATTTAAGAATACACACACATTATATATATATATATATATATATATATACACATATACAAAAATTTGTACAGCAAGTGCCTTTATCTGCTGAGCCATCTCACAGGCCTTAAAGTAATTTTTTTTGAAATACAAATCTCACTTTATCATTCTCTTGTATAAATCCTACATCCACTCAGTATCTTCCAAAGAATACAAGTTATTCTCATAACTTATACAGTTTTGCATAGCCTGCCTCCTTCTTACTCTCGTAGGTTCAACTCATACAACACATGTTTCCCACACAAATTCTAAGATATACTACAGTGCTGTTAGGAGTAGTTTTCCTACTGGCCTGGTTCCAGAGCTGAGCCAGCCCCAAATAACACATAGAGATGCTGTATTAGATATAATTTTGTTGGCCTGTTACTAGCATTTCTTATTGGCTAGCTCTGTCTTAAATATTAACATATTTCTATTAATCTAAGTATTTCCATGTGGTCTTATCTTACCAGAGGGCCCAGCATTCTTTCTCAGTCAAACATTGTGAATCTCATCCTTACTACTTCCTGCATTCTCCTTGTCTCCTAGTCCCGCCTATCTTGCTTTCCTATTGGCCAACAGTGCTTTATTCATTAACCAATACAAGAAACATATTTTCAGAATGGCATTCCCATGTTTCCTATACCTATGAAATTAGTCAGACATAGATGCTTAATCTTCAAACACTTCATAGACCTGCAGAACATGGCATTTAAATGTTTTAATATTAGTACTCACCCTAGGACTAGATACGTAGATCTTAAGTTTGTATGTTCTCAATTTTCCTTTTCTTAGAGCACACTTGTTATTCACTGTTTTGTATATAGATTTGTATCAAGCCTAAATCTTTTCTTTAGACTAAAAAGGGAATTGTAGTTAAATAGTCACTTTGTCCTCATCTGTGGCACTGACCACGCCCATTGGAGGTGAAGACAGGGGCAGAAATTATCTGAGGAGGAGCCTGGGAGTGCTCTCCTGCTTGCAGCATGGGGACAGGACATCCGGAGGAATCTTTGGAACCAGGAATCTGCTGATGTTCATCTGCCTAGGTTGTGAGTTATTTCTTCCTGAATAAACATCTATTCAGCCTATTTGTTTCTCCTGATCCTTATCAAACCACGATACAATTCTTTAGATTTTAAGTTGTTTTTTGTGTTGCAGCCAAGGTTTTTTGTTGTTGTTGTTATTTTATTTCTATTTAAGCTAACTTCTACAGGGCATAGTTCTTCCACAAATACTTCGTGAGTATCTACAAAGACACAGACATTGTTTTTTATGCTAGAGTTATAATTGTGAGAAATTCATGGCTGTCATAATTCTCATTCAAATATAAAAAGTTATTTTATTTTTAAAAAGCAAAGATATCAAATGGCAATAAAGTAAGGGAGGAGATGTAGAATACAGAGGCAGCTTGACAAGAACTGAAAAAGGTAACTTGATATAGTACAGAAAAGATCAAATCCTGACTATGATTCAATAGTTTGCATCCTTGCCACAGTCACTTAACCTATTTGTTATGAGTTGTTCTTTTGTTTTTGTTTTTATTTTAATAATAATACCAACTGTACCCATTGTTAAAAATAAGTTATCATCTCTATTCTTTACCCCTGGGAGGTAGAAGGAATTATGTCAATATTATCTCACTATTCTTGGATGAGTTCTTCCCAGAAATATTCCCTCAATCATCTCTTGCATGCCCACTGCATAAAATAAGAAGGATGGCTGACATTTTATTATGAACACCTTAACAAACTTAAAAATTAAAATCATTTAATGTAGGAAAGCATCATCCTGCAATCTACATCCTAATATTAAGATATTACTAGTTTTGTTTTATCATGGAATGCTCCATTTCTCTATTTGTTTGTCATGGTTAGTTTTTTTTATTACTTTATTATTTGTTTTTATTTCACATGTTGATCCAAGTTCCCTCTCCCTCCCTCTCTCCCTCTTATCCTCTCGCCCCACTCACAAGCACCCTGACCACCCTCCCCTCTTCTCCCCCACCCACATTCCACATGTCATGGTTAGTTTTGGTGTCAACTTGACACAAGGTAGAAGTCATTTGAGAGGAAGGAACCTCAATTGAGAAAATGCTTTCAGAAGATTGGCCTGTAGGCAAACCTGTTAGGCATTTTCTTAATTAGTGATTGATGTGAAAGGGTCCAGTTCATTGTGGGTATTGCCACCCCTGGGCTGGTGTTGCTGGGTTCTATAAGAAAGCAGGCTGAGTAAGCCCTGAGGAACAAGCCAATTAGCATCACTCTTTTAAGGCCCCTGCATCAGCACCTGCCCCATGGTTCCTGCCCTGACAGGATGTATGCTGAATAAACCCTTTCCTCCCCAAGTTATTTGTGTTCTGGTGTTTTGCCACAGCAAAAGAAACCCTAACTAAGATATCATCCATTTAACCATCAGCTGGTCATGTTTTTTGTTTGTTTTGCAGCATTTTAAAGTACGTTGCAGATATGAATATATATCTCACTAAAATACTTTAACATTACTAAAATACTTTAACATTTATATAAAATAGAGTTCAATATGGTTTTATAAATTTTTTTGTTTTTTAGTGAAAAGTACATATACTGATGTTTTTAAATGTTAAATATAAACTTATGGAGGTTTGGGAAATGAATATACTTCTGTGGCAAGAATCTATATCACTGTATAAAATATTATCCTTAATAGAGGAAGTGCCTTTCTAGTTTCCTTTTAAACCCTGCATATATACCCCCAAGGGAAGCCACTATTTGTTTGTTTGGTTTAAATAATAAGATATAAAATTATATCTAAGTTGTTTCTAGCTTTGTTTTATTATGATTAAAATTGCTATAAAATTTTTCATAAGTGTATTTTTGTGAATATGTATTTTCATTTCAGTCAAATAAATGCATAGGGGTGTGTATTAGTTATTTTTCTTGTTGCTATGACAAAATACCTAACAAAAGAAATTCATGGAAGGAAGGATTTATTATGTCTCATAGTTAGAGAGTGCGGTAGCAGGTTACAATCCACAGTCAGGGAGCAGAAAAAAATGAATGCAGGTGTTCAGCTGACTTTCTTCTTTGTATTTAATTCAGGGCTCTGGCCCATGGAATGGTGCCACTACATTCAGGGTGGAGCCTTGTTACTCAGTTACACCTCTCTGGAAATACCCTCAGAGACTTGCCCAGAGGGTTATCTCTTAGGTGATTCTAGATTATGTCAAGTTGATAATCAATGTTAATTATCACAGAATAGAACAGATATATTATGGAGTTCAAGAATGTTTAGTTTCAGTAAATAATGTTTTACCAAACCAGCTGTACCTTTTTATTCCTTCATAAAGAAAGGATGAAAGCTCCAAGCCCTTCACAATAATTGGTGCTGCCAGTTGTATTAAATTTAGATAGTGTTATAGATACTTTTTAAGGATAACCTTATGAGAAAATATTCACAAGAATTAGATAGTTCTTTCTGCACAGTACCATCAATGAGTAAATTATTAGAGAGAACCAATCGCCTAAAAGAGTAAGCTGTGACAGACATTCTTTCCAAGTCTCAGTTGCCTTATGTATAAAAGATGGCTAATAACTGTTTTCCTTCTAAAACAGAAAAATAGGCCAATAAATTTTATAGAGCTATCAAATATACAGGACTGAAGTCTCTACAAATAGTATTGAGTGTCAACACCTGGTTGAAGATTGCTTCCTCACTATCTTCCTCATATGGACATGGCTCCTAGGGAAAGCAGTATTCATTATGGTTTTCTATTTGAGTTTCTGATAGCAGTCCTGTGAGGTCTGCTAATCATGTGTTTATTTAACATATGAGGGAAAATATATTGGTTCTGGTTATGCTATGTACTAAAACCAACAAACATCATCTGACATCCAGAAGAGTAGCACTATTTCTCTTTGAAAGGAAGACCTTTAACAGTGTCTACTAAAATCTTACAATATACATACCTGTAGTAAAATGTAGTTGCTTATTTTTACTCTATGGGGGGTCCTCCACCCAGTTCCCAAATAAATACATGGAGACTTATACTTACTTATAAATGCCTGGCCTTAGTTTGGCTTCCAGCTTTTCATAAATTAACCTGTCTACCTTTCTCTGCTTTTACCTTTCTTTATTCTATATGTCTTTCTTTCCTTCTTACTCTGTGATTGGTTGTATGGCTGGGTGTCTGGCCACTGGCATCTTCCTCACTTTTTCTGGATCCTCTCTCATGTTCTTCTTTCTGCTATTTATTCTCTCTGCAGAACAGCCCCACCTATCCCTCTCCTGCCTTGCTATTGGCTGTTCAACTCTTTATTAGAACAATCAGATGTTTTAGGCAGGCAAAGTAACAGAGTTTCATAGAGTTACATAAATGCAACATAAGAGAATGCAACACATCTTTGTATCATTAAACAAATATTCCAAAACATAAACAAGTGTAACACACATTAAACTAGTAGTCCACATTTTTCCCTTTTCATCTAAATAAAAATGAAAGGACTTAACTTTAACATAGTAAAACTAAGTACAACAAAAACAGTTATCAGATAAGAATTACATTTACATGTGGAGTGGGGGGGATTGGGAGGGGAGGGTGGTCGGAGTGCATGTGAGGGGGAGAGAAGGAAAGGGGAGGGAGGGAGCAGGAAGTGGGATCGATATGTAAAATAAAAATAAAAGAATTAAAAAAAGAATTATATTTAAAATATTCAGCCCATTTGTATTTATCAAATTCAAAGAAAATACTCCATTATCTTAGTGTTTCCAAAGTTTTATATCTAATTTGTTTTCTATCATAACTAAGGAAACTATAACTCTATTTAGTCTTTAACTCTATCAAAGACACCAGAAGGTTGTAATATTACCAAACAACAAAGACATCTGGCTTCCTTGACAGTCACCCAAGGTTCCTGTGAAACATTTTGGCATCCATCTTCACTCTACAGGCCTAGAATATCTGACAGACTTCTATGAAGCAGAAATTTTGAAGGACTTTCCTTTCTTATATTGGCAAAGTTCAACAGTTACTTTCCTCTGTTTCTGACATATCAGGTAGACACTTCTGTGAAGCAGGAATCTCAAATCACTGTCATGCCTTGTCTTGGCAGAGGTCAACAGTCTTTTTCCAGTGTCTCACTTGTCCAGTCTGTCCAACATAATGTCAGCAGTCAAGGCAAGAGCAGTTTCTTGCCAAAATGGCTAGCTGTGAGACATTAAACGCAAACTCCATATGGAGTTTCTTTGATGCCTAGCTTCTATTTATGAAATAAATTGGTGCTGCCAGGAGCATATGTTTCTAATTATGAAAAACTATGGTTATTAAACATCTTAAATGCCATAAGTTGTAGATCTTTGAAGTGTTTCAAAGTCTGTCTAAAATATACCTGTTTGACCTTGAAAACATACCTAATGTGACTACAAATTTGATTATTATAGATTAACTACTAACCTCGTTTCTTAATTATACATTTGCATTTTAAAATGAGCTACATGAGCACAATACCCCAAACAAGAGTAGAAACGTATGTACAGTATAACCAAACTAACTTTAAATTTGTATCGATATACCAAAAATCATACTAATGCAAATAACCAACAACCACCCTCCCCATGTCTTGGGAATATGGATGTTGTGTTCTCTAGACTGCTTCTTGTTGTCTGGTGAAGGCTTACTTCTTTAGGGGTCCCTTAGAAAATTAAGATAATGGCCAAGTCCTAGGAAGATCAGCTATAACCTTTGTTGATATATATCACCTGTCAAGATTTAGGAAGACTTCCCTATCAAACCTGATCCATGTCAATGCCAAAATAATCCACAGACTCTAATTTCCTATGGAAGTAAAAACAAAACCTCTTCTCTAAATCAGTGCATTGTTTGACCTTCATTTTAAAGTTAAGGCATTCTTAAAATATCCAGGCTGCTTTATTTCAGCAGTTCCTCTTTCAATACCATGTTTCTTAGCAGTTGTTTGCTTGTCAGCAATCAAAAATTCAAAATCAACATAATAGTATGTATGTTCAGACTCCCTGTGTATTTTCTTTGTTATGTGTATTTTTGCTTTTATATTACTTTTTCTCTTTAAAGGCTTTATTATTTTTGAACTATTTATTTCTTTCTATAACTATCTATACTCTTTCCCTTTTCTTTCTTAACCTACATGCATTTTTAAACATGCTAAAACCTGTTAAGTGTTTTTTCCCATCTGAATTTGTCTGTACTTCATAGCTCTATCTTTTTCTGACCATGTGAACCTTTAAACTGCTAAGAAGCACAGCTAGGACCTCCACCGAGGCTTTGGTGCCTGGCTCCATCTACTTCTTGGATCATGAAAGCCAAGCCTAGTTGCATGACTAGTTAGAGGTGTGTGACCCAGAACTGCATTCAATCCCCAGCTCTGTAATTCCAGTGCTCGGAACAGTGGCAGACATTTTTTACTTAGATTTTTGTTCCTACTTAATACACAGGCTGCTCAAGGATTCACTGTACAGAAGAAACTCTTAAAGCGGCCCTATCCTTTTTGTTTTGTTTTGTTTTGTTTGTTTGTTTTGTTTTGTTTTCTGAGGCCCTATGAAAATTCCAGCCTCGCATTGGTATGCCAAAATGTAGTTGGTTGGGTTTGTTTTTGGAGGGGCACCCAGCTCCCAAATAAATATGCAGAGATTTATTCTTACTTTTGAATGCCCAGTTTTAGTTTGATTTGTCTATATTAAGCCTTTCTAACTTAATTTAACCAGCTTTTTCTTCTGTGTTTTGCCTCTGGGCTTTTACCTTACTTTATTCTATATGTCCTTCTTTCCATTTTACTCTGGTTGTGTAGATGATGGTTGGCCCCTGGTGTTCTCCTCTCCTCCATTTCTCCCTCCTCTCTCTTATCTCTTTTTATTCTCTTATTTATTCACTCTGCCTTCTAGTCCCACCTGTCTCTCTCTCCTGCCTACCTATTGGGTATTCAGCTCTTCATTAAACCAACCATGTGTTTTAGACAGGCAAAATAACACAGCTTCACATAGTTAAATAAATACAACATAAAAGTGCAACACATCTTTGCATCATTAAACAAATATCCACACCATAAACAAACATAACACATCTTAAAACAATATTCTACAACACATACCTTACAACCCAGAAGTTCCATCCTTAAGTTTATATCAAACAAAATGAATGCATACATTTACCAAGATATGTAATAGAACACTTTTGGAAGCACTACTTATAATAGTTCCAAAGAGAAAACTACTCAAATGTTCATTACCAGTAGAATGAATAAATTATGGTGTGATCATTGCAATTGAATTCCATACTGCAACAATAATAACTACTACTAAATGATGAGTTTCATAAATGTAATATTAAATGAAAGATTCCAGACACAAACAAGATACCATATGATTCCACTTTATAAAAAATTTATATACAATGTTTAGTAACAGAAATCAGGATAGCAATTACCCTTGTGTCAGGGGAAGGCATATAGCTGGTAAGAGATGTGGGTGTCATGTTCAGGATGGGGTGAGACAGAAACTTCTGTCTACAAAGAGGCTCAAGAAAATGTTACAGTGTTGTGGCAATAATTGGTGTATCTCATTAGTAGTGATATGAATGTCAACCCATCATGAAAATTAATTAATTATTAATTAATTAAGATTTATTTGTGTGCTTTTAAATATATAGTAGACTTCATTAAAAATAATTTTCCTTATCCAATGTAGAAATACATTACCATTTCTTTTAGATATGACACAACTATGTAGCCATGACTGCCCTCAAACTGAAAGAGATCCACCTGTTTTTGCCTCCTTAGTGCTATGATTAGAGATATGCACATATCAACTGGATGGCAAAACATCATCTTAGTAAAGAATTTTCAGTGGTCCTCATAGTAAGCATATAAAGTCCAAGGCTTTACCAAAGCCTGCATGACTATATATATGATCTTGCCCCTGGCTACTTCCTCTATTTCATTTTTTCAATCATAATTCTCCTTGCTTACTTAACACAAGCCACAAAGCCTGCTTGGTGGTCTATAAACATAATAAAATGCCTTTGTATTCCAAGGCTCTGTATTTGCTATTCTCTCTGCCTAGACTGCACTTTCTTTAGCTTGTCATATACTTGATTTCTGTTCATACCAGCACCATCTCCAGTGTCACTTCTCCAAAACTTCCTTAACCATCTAAAAACAAATTTTCCAGTTACCCTTAAACACATCACTTTATTTTCACACAGCATCTGTAGCTAGCTGAAATTATTTTATTTATATTTGTTGCATCTATAAATTTGCATCTACAATACAGCATAAACCTCCCAAAAGCTGGGATAATGTCTCTTATGTTCAACATTGCATATTTATTTTCTACTAAACTCCTTGGCAATGGCATGTGCTCTTGTAAGTGCTAGTGTTGAATGAATAATAGACAAAATGAAGATCTCTGAGTAAAACTATCTACTGAATTATAACTAGTATTTTCTCCACAGAAGGAAATACTTATGGAATTATCTCAATCTTTTTTTAAGATAGATTTGTTTATGCAGCTTATATTATCCTCCTTAGTTTAATGTAAATAGTTCAAATCTCCTATTGATTTCATGCCCCTTGAACAATAAGTACTTTTTCATGAAACACACTTCAGATAAAATACCATATCCTGAGATGGGATAAATCAGATGAAACTTAACTTTGACTCTCTGCCCCCATAGTCTCCAAAAATAAATATGACCAGAGATAGTGACATTCCTATCTCTGATGCTATATTCTAAAGTGTATATCGATTCATTGTTGTTTAAAGTGTGGAAAAGAGACTGAATTATCTAAAATAGTTCAGTAAACAATAAATGTCTTTATCATGTGTCTGATATCTTTATTTCTCATGTTTCCATATGAGGTACAACAACTATGATCGAGCTGTCATCAACACTGTGCCTTATGATGTTGTCCATCGTTGGTATACAGCACATCGAACCCTAACAACTGAATTGAGAAGGCCTGAGAATGAGCTTTGGGTCAAACTGAAGCCTGGAAAAGTAGGGCATAAACTCTATAAATATATTAAGTAAACTTACCATACAAAATCAATGAAGAATGATACTTGTTTAATATGTGTCACCATATTATAAAGGAAAAAGTGTTTTTTGTTTGTTTGTTTGTTTTGTTTTGTTTTTTTAAGTCCTAGGGATTGTTCTTGGTCCTGCCATTCATGCACTGATGATCTGAAAGCAGGCACCCATGCCATCTTTTTACATCAAATACTTATTTTAATGATAAAGGGATTTGACCAGGATCATTTCAGCTTAATAATCCTATTTTTCCACTTTTTATTGTTTATTTTATTTTACATTCCAGCCACATTTCTCCCACTCCTCTTTCCACCCCCTCATCTCTCATCTTCTCCCATCCCCCTCTATGTTTTCTCTAAACAAAACATAATTGAGAAAGAATAAAGTGGAATTTTAGAGAAAGAAACAAATTTCATGATTTACTTAAAAAAAAAAAAAAAGATAGTTGTTGCTCAAAGAACATAGGCTCCTCAGGTGCACAAAGTGTATAAACAATTTTCTTTGTAATTTCTATCTATCGTGCTACAAAAGAAATCTATTTCATCAAATGTAACCCATAGAACAATCTAAATCTTTATTTAGATTACGTGTGATTTGTACTAGTTCTGATTATTCTCTCTCTCTTTTTAATATATTCACAGGTACTATTTATAGACAATTGGCGAGTCCTTCATGGAAGGGAATCTTTCACTGGATACCGCCAACTCTGTGGCTGCTATTTAACAAGAGATGATGTATTGAACACTGCTCGTCTCTTGGGGCTTCATGCTTAAAATTGAAAGCACTGGGATTATGAGAATACTTGGCACCCTACCACCAGAATTTTGTATCAACAGAACAATATTATGCCAAATTTTTTTTCATTTTGTCTCCTTCCAATTCAAAAAAAAAAAAAAAACAGAAGCTTTTCCTTATTTTACTAGGAAAAAACTGTTAAAGAAAGTGGGCTTCTGCCCTAGTCCCTACTTCACAGGACCTGTCACATCTACATGACCCCAACTGGATGGCATTCCCCTACATATGGAATTGTGGTGGGGGGATGGGAGGGGAGGGTGTTTAGAGTGCATGTGAGAGGGCAGAGAGGGTAAAAGGGAGGGCTGGAGGGGAGGGAGAGGGAACTGGGATCCACATGTAAAATAATAAATTAAAAAAAAATGCTTTGACTCCAAAATTTAACTTGAAGAACAAGTTACTGGGGAAAAGGATTTCTATTTTTGTTTCCACAGAAAATGAAAAGATGTGGATTCCTTCCAGACTAATGTGGTTTGATCACGCCAGACCGCCTGAAACAGAGTACAAGCTGATCCTACATTCAAAACAACTGGACAAAACAGCCCTACAGACTACAGCTAGGATATCTGAATCTTCTTCGAATCCCCCAAGACAGCGCCCCTTACCAGCAGGAAGTAGTTTGGAAAGAACGACGCCCAAATTCCCAAATATTGTGTATAAATGTTTGTTTTCATTTAATTGGACTTTGTTATATAAAATTAAATAAAAAATTATAAATAATAAAAAAATAAAATAAAATAAAGAAAGTGGGCTTCTGAATTATCTAATGTTAGCTATCTAGTATAGTGGTTGTCGTCCCAAGTTACTGTTTTCCTAAAATTTTTGATGTAATTATAGTCACTATACTTAAGAAATATACTCTCAATACTAAAATGAAACCAATAATGTTTTGTGATTTGTCTTCAACTAAATCAGAATGCAATGTATTCTAGAGATGACAAAACACTGATAAAGCAATGTTTATAAAAACATTTTCATCTTTTATAATTCATTTTAGTAATAATATGTGCTTACTTGTATTTAAATATACCCTATATTTTCGAGTTCCTTCCAATTTCAGCAGATGATAGGATATTGCTTTCTTTTTAATGACTAAACAGTATTCCACTGTGTAACGGGTATCGTTTTTCCACCCGCCGCCATTTTTGTCCGGCAGCTGCACCAGCCCCAAATAATACACAGAGACTTTGTATTTGATATTATCCTGTTGGCCAGTTACTAGTTTCTTATCGGCTAGCTCTATCTTAATTATTAACCCATTTCTGTTGATCTATGTATTTCTCTTACCGGGGAGCCGGCGACATACTGTTTTCTCCAGACTCTCCATCTTGACTCCTCCTTACTACTTCTTATTTCCTCCTTGTCTCCTAGTCCCTCCAATTGTAGTGAGGTAGTCCTTCTGTAGCACTGACCACGCCCATTGGGGGGTGGAGCGATGGGCGGAGAGGACCTGAGGAAGGAGGTCGGAGGGGGCCAGGAAGGCGCTCTCTCTTGCTGGCGTGACTCAGACAGGAGAGGATCGGGTTGAATTTCCTGGTGTTCATCTGTCTAGGTTGTAAGTTATTTCTCCCTGATTAAACATCTATTCGGCCTATTTGTTTATCCTGATCCTTATTTACCGCAATACCACTGTGCTACATTTTTATTATCTGATAATGGATAAAAGGTTTAATACTATGGATAATATATCAACAAACATGGACATGCAGATATGCTGTGATACACAGGTCTGATTTTCCTCTGATATGTAATATACCCCAAAGAGGTAGTTTTATTTTTTAACCATTGTGAAAGCTATGTACTGTTTCCCTAATGAATACACTAATCTACATTCCCACCAATGGTATAATAAGCATTCTTTTCAGTATATATCCTCACTGACTTTTGTGCTTTCTGGTGTTGATTATTATAATTCTAGCTAGATTAAAATGATATCTCATTGTGATTTGAATTGGCTTTTTCCTGAGGACCAGTGATGTTTAGCAACTTTTCAGATAACTTTTGACCAGTTTGTGTGTTCTTTTGAGGAATGTCAGTCTAAAATATTTGCCAACTTTTGGTTAGTTGTACCTTAGCTATTGAATTTTTCAAGTCCCCTATATACTAAAACACTATATCCACCACATCAGAAGTATAGTTAACAAACCATTTACCTCATTCTGTAGGTTTCCCTTTACTCTGCTGATAGGCGTGTATCTTTTGCTACACAAAAGCACCTTAACACCCTTAAAAGTTCCTGAGAACCCCAAAGAATATAGGTGACATCTAATACTAATTATATTAGATACTGAGAGCAAGAAATATTTAAAAGATAAAAGTACCAGTCCATTAGTTATCAGATACATGTCTTTATAACATGTCATGCCAATTGCGGCTTCTGTACTGGTGAAACAATGGGAATGAAAAATAATAATAATAACACCACCAAGCACTGGTGGCTCACACCTTTAATCTCAGCACCTGGGAGGCAGATGCAGGTGGATGTCTGTAAGTTCAAGGCCAGCCTGGTATACAAAGTGAGTTCCAAGACAGTCAGTGCTGTTACACAGAGAAACTCTGTAAATAGAGTTCATAATTGGTCTAAGTAATTAAAAACCCAGAGTCAGATATAGAGGAAAACCCTGAGAGATGAGAGAGAAGGAGCAAGCCAAGGCCAAACCTTACATCTTTAGCATCTTGGCAGATGAGAGCGAGTTCCTGTTTCTCTCTACTTATATCCTGTTTCCGTTCAGCTATCTCACTTCCTGTTTGTCTATACAGATCTCCAGACCTCTATGGTTAGCTAGTGGCAAGCTGCATTCTCTGTCCCTCAGATAAGCTTTATTTGTACAAGCAACATATCACCACAAAACTCTGTCTCAAAAAAAAACAGGTACTAAGATAACCTTTGTGTGAGCTGTTTTTCTTTAGGACTGAATCAATCTTGTGTAGATCTGGGTGGCCTTGAACTCACAGAGATCCATTTACATCTTATTCCCAAATCCTAGGGTTAAAGAGGTGTACCACCTCCTAGCTTCTGGCTGCTAGGGTTAAAGGTGTGTATCTGGCTTCTATGGATTGTGGCTGATTTTGATTTCGGAATCCACAGGCAAACTTTAATAAAGCATAAATAGAATATATATATATATATATTTTTTTTTTTAACCTCCAAATCCCAATAAATGGGACACCCAGGATCCCCATTGCATGTATCTTCAGGAAGTACTTTGACAAAATGGACTTGAGGCATCATTCTTTGGGTCAGTCTTTTCACTATGCCAACACATTAAAGGGCTTAGCTGAAACCCTAAACCTTTGTCTTATAATCCACTTGAATAAAGGAGAATTTGCAGTCTCCTCAGGACATGTTCAGACACTGTTGGACTCAGTTGGTAGTACAAGCTCAATAATAAGATGGAAATAGAATTCACATATGTCTTATCATCCTGGAAGAGTTGTCTCCATCTAAATAACTCTCAATAAATTAAATTAGGAGTCATGACCACTCTTTTGAACTAAAGCCATCATTTGTCTGATGCTTACATGAAGAATATTTGCAGACAGAATGCAGAGATTTTTTACATGTGTGTGCATGTGTTCGTGCGTTCATGCCTGTGTGTGTGTGTGTTTGTACATGCTTGCATGCATGTATGTGTATTTAAATTGAGTTACCTATAATAAGGGCTATAATGCCTCTCCCAAGTACCAGATGTCATGAAATAAAAATCTCATTCCCATTTATGGTTAACACTTTTAAAGTTGGTGGTCAATGGGGTCCCTTAGGCACCCCCCCAAACATTATTTGCTATTACCATTGGCCCTGGTTATCCTCCAGAACTAGATTATAAGACCCGACTATTGAAGACACCACATACTTGAGTCACAAAACATGCAGAAATCAAGCTTTGTATTAACCGTGAAGCTTCAACTCTACTGACTAGCTTTCATAGTGGTAGATGGTATTATGCAAGTCCCTAGGACACAAAATGAATCAACAGTTTTACCAATCTGTTATCTCTACAAGCCACAGTAATGACTGGCCTGGCACAAATGCTATGGAAGTAGCCAACCTCTTTCCGCTTGGATTTAATACCTATTCTACAAGACAGAACTCATGTGTGATATCATCAACTAGCCAAAAAACTTGTGACTTGCTAGATCTTTGTCCCTTGGAGAGAACCTAATACTATTATTTTTCAATAGATGAAGTAATAAACTGCCCCATAAACCCATACATTTTTGTCTTTGTACTCATAGATTAGTGTGTGTCTTTCAGCCCTCATCAGAAAAATTTCTTTTTGCATTAGATGGTGATTAATACACAGAGACCTACAACTGGTCAACAAATCAAAACCAAATAGGACATTTGTATCATATCTGATATATTCTAGGTTGTTTGAGAACCACTCAAGAACCCTGTGCTGAATCATTAATCCCTCCTTTCTCTACTAAATGACTTGAGGCATGCCCCACTCCTATCCTGAGCTTCAGTTTGTTCTTTTGTGAATTTTGGATTAGACAGCCTTTAAAGATCCTGCCACTCACCCAGGAAACAGAAAGAAAACAGAAAATAGGGGTTGGTTATAAATCTTCAAAGCCCTCCACTAGTGACATACTGCCTCCAGCATGTGTGTACCTCCTAAAGTTCCCACCACCTTCCCAAATAGTGCAACTGAGAATCAAGTGTTCAAACACTCAAACCTATAGATTACATTTCATATTCAAACAACACTGTTCAAAATGTTTTTAATGGGAACAGCAGCCCCAGACCTAGTCTATAAATAAAAAATACAGAGGTAAAGAAAGATTAAGTATCTCAGCCAAGGTCACAGAACAGAGTTTTAGAAACCTGACACTAAAGCCAAATCTTCTAGTTAGTATGCCATATCATATAATAGGTACTAACTTCCCTCTCCACATTTACAGTCTGTCTAACCATTCATAGTATAACAATATCACAGAATCACTTTCAAGTTGTTTAGCAAGATCTTTTAAAATGTCCCATGATTATCTAATCAAGTTTGAAAACATTAAAAAGTGACAAAAAGCATTTTCTGAAAAGTGTTATTCAACTCTTCTAGGTTTGCTTCTTCCCAAGGTGGACCCTTGGTAGAAAGAAACAACTTATTCAGCATTTTCCCCTCATAACTAGACTCCCAACCAGTCAGTTGTTAGAGTCAAACCCATTTTATAGAAACTGTCTTTGGCATTTGGGAAATCTA